GTAAATACTGAAATACAATTAAACTATTAGGCTTCTTTTAATGTTAAACAATCAGTTTTCAATCAATTCACAATCAAATTGCCTTATAATCATTATTATTAGTAAGCTATCTAGAGGGTGACAGTTCAACTTTCAGTATACATTTTTTATGTATATATTTATGTATGTATGTATGTTAGTATGAATGTATAATTTATATTCTATTTATTTTAAACCAATTCAACTGGTATACACCCTCCAGAAATGTAAATATAATTTATTTATTTATATTTATAAAAGTTGAAAACGTGAATACGCATAATTAAATTGACCATTATGTACATCACAATTAACATATTATGTTAAATATGTATAGGGGTATTTGAATGTATTATTTGTTATTGAGAATTAAGCTGACGATGAATCAGGAGAAACGAAGCACCTGCGCATAATATATGAACATGTGTTTCATCATATTTTTTTATAAATAAACTAAAAAGAAGACTCATCCTAGTTACCACGTTTTCGTCTATTTCTAATGTGGGCATTATCAACACCAATGTCTATGTGTCGCGTTAATAATACTTACTATTAGAAACGGACGCTACACGGTTATGTTATCTAAAAGGTCTCATCCTTTTCAGTTTATTTGGATAATGCCTAGTTCCCTCCCATATACCTGTTTTTAATTAGGGTTCAAATTTTTGGTATGTCGAATTCCCTCCTAATTATACATCAATTGCCTCCAACCTTGAGTGCTAATTGCCACTTTAAAGTCATAAAGAGTTATTTAAATAATACAGCCTCACATCACATATTAATCTTAATATAAACAATTTTAAAAAATTGTTAACAAGACAAAACTAATAAAGTTTTTCTAGATGCACACGAATTTCCAAACATTGAATTTGTTAAGGTAGTGGGAAACCATTTTAAAATTAAATAAATAAATATTTCATAACTGATGTGTTTTCTTTCTGAAATTATTTTATCTTTAATTTACTAAGTACTAAAGTGCACTATAAATATATATTTATTTTCGATAAATAAAATTGGTAAGTAGTTGTTAACTTAATTATCTAGTACCCAGGAGGGAATTCGACTATCTATATTTTAACCAAAACTACTTGCGGGAGAGAATTAATTCGGCATCACCGGTTTATTTATTCCTTTACCAGTCTCTGTTTTGAATATTTTAATAGTTTTTATTAATGACTTTCCTTCATCAAACCTGTTGAGAACATATATAGTATAATACACGTTAACATCTTTTTATTTGCTTATCTGTTACGTTTTTTATTAGTAATTCGTTTGAATGCGGAGACACAATTGTACAAAGTTAGGGTAACAAAGGTTTATTATAGTACCTAAATCTACGGATCTTGGCATTAAATTGTACGAAGACACAAATCTAGGAATTCAAAGTTCCCTATTCTAAGGTTACAATGTGTACTATCTTTACACATCTTACAGCGGATTTTCACTAGTATCAAATCGAAAAATCATCGAATACCGATTTTATTAAATCCATTTATATACAATAACTTAATAAATAATATAAATAAAATTTCACTAATGAGTGTAATGTTGAAGAAACAAACAGTTTACGCAGGTTTATACTCCGGCCGTAGCCCAAGTGGCAAAGGTACTTCGTAACTTCTTCCCCATCCTCCATGTCCGCCATGCGAGTGATGGTCCTCGTGAGACGAGGAATGGGTGTTTTCGTGGGAATAAATAGGCTTAGCAACTACCTCGTAAGTTGTCTTTCCACCTCCCCCTGAAAGTGATTTCAGACCAAGGATGGCAGACAGCATTAGAGAAATGAGACCCGTCATTAGAGCTTTTCCAGCGATAGCTGCAAGAGCACCAAGGGCTAAAGCCAACAAAGTACCTTTCATCATGGCAGCGGCAGCAAAAATGGCTCCCCCCATGCCGCCACCTTTCTTTCCGCCACCACCTCCTGTTCCTGTCAATCCGCCTAATCCTGTTCCTCCACCTTTACGGGCAGATTCTTCTCCTTCATCCGATACATCGTTCCCGAAGAAATTTAATTTGATCGAGTGGTTATTGATGAAATCCGATACTTTTCTTAAAAGGAATGCATCTAAACGTGCGTCAGGATCCTTGGGGAACTCCCTGGCTAAATCTGACACTAACTCTGCTGTATTCGTTGTAGAGGTTCCATTTTCTTTAACGATTGCTACTCCTGGTAAAATATTGTAATTTCCTTCTTCATTGAGCTTTTCCACCCATGATACGACATCCAATTTCAAACAAGTGACCGAATACTTAGAACCGCAATCACGAGGAAGAGATCTTTTGTATTCACTTCGATCACTCGTCACATTAGCTTCGTTATCCATGCGTTCATGGCACTGAACAACCGTGATGATAACAAGAAGAAGAACCGCAGTTTTGCCCCAAAGCACCATATTATGCGCGGAAATCAACAATGGTGCTATTATTGTAAGAACAGACGTTACACTAACTTTGAATTGATTTATGCGTGGGTTTAAATACTGTAGAATGTAGAGTAGAAAGGTTAATTTTCGAGCAATTCCAAATAACTACGTTTTGGGCTCAGCATTTTTACTGGTACAAAATTTCTGGTGGGGCATAAAAATGTCACTTAAACTGAGTAAGTACATGCGCTCGTTACTTTACGTTCCAGTGATTTTCGAGCTTACTTCTGATAAAAACTTGGCAAAAAAGGCACTAAGAAACGCCGAGTAATTTTCCATTCACTTGTCAGAACAAAATAAGACCGTATGCTACGCTTGGATTAATCATGGTTTGCGCCGATCTCGGTGGTTCATTAGCAACGGCAAAAATAACCCAGACAATGGACTTGACCGTTCAATTTTTCGGTCGGGAAAAGTGGGCGCCCTTTTTCAGTTTTTAAAGGTCAATTTCTTCGGCGTATTTGTGTCAATTTATTTTTGTAAAAGTTGAGAAAGTTATTGCAAGTTTCACTTTAGTTGTATAAATACCTATAATTGATTAGAAACATTCAGAATTTTAGTAACGAAAGTGTATCACAAGTAACTGCACCATTTAATCCATTAAAAGTGAAATTTATGCTAATTTCGTATGATCTGTAGTAGATTAGGGAACAGTGAAGGTAATCGCTTTTCCGTGAAAGGTCGCGAATTCATCTTCATCATCATCATAAGGTCGTCAGTCCTAAGACTGGTTGGACACGTACCTCCAATCTTTCCTATCCTAAGCTAAATTTCGCATTTCCCTAAAACTGGAACAACCCACATCCTTAACTATATGCGAACAGTAACCTAATCTAGGTCTACCGCTACCCCTCCTAACTCGTGTTTCTGCCTCTAATACGTCTCTGACTAGACCTTTCTCTACCTATCTCGCCTATTTCTTATTGATTTCCATAGAGTCCTCTGTTCTCCTATTCTTTCTAATACCTCTCCATTTCTAATCTTTTCTATCCACGTTATCCTCATCATTCGCCTATAACACCACAATTCGAACGCTTCTAACCTTTTCTTTTCCATTGCTCCCACTGTCCATGTTTCGCACCCGGAAAACGCCGGGTTCCAAACAGACATGTACTTTTTTGCCAAATAAATCTTTCTACAACAAATCGAGATAACTGAAAACCTATTCAACTTTGTTTAGGAATGCACTCAGGTCAAAGTTGTGGGAATATACACTGTATCTTTGTGACCAAAAATGTTAAATATTTCTTTGGTATCAGAATCGTGCGAGTTCATTTTGAGAATTACCATATTTGTTAACTTGCCTTCATTTATAACTACTTTCCCTTCTGAAATTATCTATCCTGATTAAACTTCCTTTTGGGCTTGTGAAATGTATTCAATAAAGGAAATATTATCAGACATTATTTGTAATGTTTTGTGAAAATGTGGTTAACGATGTGTTTTTTACTTATTAGGAATTGGAATATATACAATCGCAAAAGATGTAAACCCAAGTTGTGTTACGAGTTATTGTGGTAATTTGCTTCTCTCGGCATACGAGGGTGGATTGATAAGTTTCCGGCCTAACCAAGAGATGACGCCACTAGGCCTACCTTGAGGTGACATTCTATAGTACCATCCTTGGATAGCTTGTAGCTATAGTTTCAGCCCGATCTCCTTGCTAGTGTAGGTTTGACAGCACGCTGAACAAGACGCCTCTGTGGTTTTCGTAAAAATGGAAAAGCAGGAAAATCGT